CAGTGGTGGTGAAGACAACAACTCCCATGATCCCACGCTGCTTCACCACCTCATCTACGTTCCTCTGTTGTTGAGTCTTAATTTCAGGCTGTCAGTCAGTGTATAAGAGAGTGTTTCCACGACCGTTTCAGGTCCTAAAGACGTAAATATTGGACTCTGTGCTGTAGCTGCTTTCTCTCTCCAGGGCTGCAGACCTCATTAGGAGGTTTAATCAGTGGTCTGGGACACACCTGGTCCCGGTGAGCTCCATGAATAAATCCAGAGCAGCAGCCAGTTCTGTTTGAGCCTCCTCACTCTACAGCGCCTTTATATGTGGCTTTTGTTTGCTTTTGTGCGTTTTTACAGCACAACATCTCCTCCCCACACCACACCGTAAACCCTAACAGCATGTCTTCATAAAGAGGTAAGTTAACACAACTCACTCACATGAGTTAAACCCAACTCTGTAATAACTGGTGGCTCAAACAAACAGGACCTGAACCCAGGAGACCACTGCTGGTGTCCTATTAAAACCAAAACTAAACACATAGTTTAAAGTAACTTGAGTAACTTTGTGTGGTTACAGATTACAGCTCCCTCGCTTCCCCCTCACTTTACAAGCATATGGGAGAAACTACAGTGGCTGCGAAACGCTATAGGCTAGTTTGTCCGTTCTGGGCTCCTGTAGAAACATGTGTGAACGTAACCATAAACATGTTAATCTGCATCAGTTGTCAGGAGCACATTTTGCAGATAAGTTCAATAAGAAAACAAAATCTTTGCCTTCAGTATTTTTATTTTCTAATCTGACTCCAGCAGGACCACATCGTTTCTTAGCTCCTTCCAAAACCGCCTCATTATGTACAGACTCCAGATCTGTGTCTCTGCTGTTCTGTGTGTGGTTTTCTCACCGTTGCTGTAGAGGAGCTGTAGCCTGTAGTGGATCCCGTTGTTGGTCTTCTCTCCATTGTACTCCTGTCACACAAACACACAGATCACACGTTACACGCCGAGTTACCGCCATGAAGGTGAGATCAAACGTTTACAGTCGTCGAGCAGTCGCCGGCGAGGCTGCACACAGCGGGCGGCTTCAGTGCTCACAGTCAGACCTGCTCCTGTGTTCATGTACTGCACTGTAGTAGCACTGTAAACTCTGTAAACACTGTAAACGCTGTAAACGCTGTAAACTCTGCAAATAATGCAAATACTGTACACTCTGCCTATAATCAGACACTGTGCTGTAAGTGTTGGAAACACATCTGATCACACACTGGTTTGTATTTTTTATTTTATTGTCTGCTTAATGCTGTTTGTAATAATCATATTTTTTTGTTATTCTGTGCTATTAATCAATTTATATGCTCTTGGATCTCGTCTGTGGAGTTGTTTTTCCAGTTGTTTTTTTTTTAAGTCATTTTTTTGGGCCTTTTATTGGCTTTATTAGATAGTGACAGCTGTAGATAGACAGGAAAGGGGGGTACAGAGAGAGGGGATGACACGCAGCAAAGGGCCGCAGGTCGGATTCACTGAGCTAACCGGGCTCCCCTATTTTTCAACTCTTTATAAAGCACTTTGACACACTTGACATTTGAAGATGAAAAGTTACATTTAAAATTTTTATGCAATATTTTTCAGACTCAAAGTTTAATATAAAATGTCTCAATAAGAAAAGAGAGTTCAGAAATCACCTTTCTGTCTTTCTATGTTGTAATGTCGACATCATATCTCAAACTTTAAACTTACATTACATTTTTTTGCCTGTTAGTAATAAGCTAAAAGGTCAGGATTATTTCTGACTGAGTAAAAATTGCCACAAAAGAAAGAAAATGGATGAAAGGATAATAAATAATAAAAATGACTTTTTAAATCAGAACAATCTGTTTTTTTTGCTCTTTTGTTGGCAGGAATAAGCTTCCATATAAAGTCTGATTATTTTAAGCAAAAGAGAAAAGTTTTCAGCGTCATTACTACAGTTTATATTTACTTATTGTTCAGTTTGAATTAGAAGCAGCTGGATCATGATAACTGCTGGCTGACCTTTGACCTTTGACCCCCACAACCAAGGGATAATGTGAGCCAGGACCTCCTCTCTCTCCTGTCTGTCTGT